ACTGCAAGTCCTTTATAATTCAACGGGATCTCTCAGAGGTATTCTGAGCATAAATCAGTTTTAAAGGGATAATATTTTAATCCCTCATCCTTAATACAGTTAAAAAACAGAATACAGCTTTCGCATGATTTAGAATGAAAATATCACACATCTGTAGGCAATCAGAAGAAGCTGGATGACATGTTCAATTAAAAGAGTAAGAAAACATGCTCCCTCGTGAGTGTATGTATATGCTGGATATTCCCTGGAGGGCCTGTGGCCATTTATCTTGTAAACTGTGTTCTTTTAACAGCAATTAAGTCAATACACAATGGAGTTGTGAAGTATGACTATTTTCACAAACTATTTTCACCACTGCAATACACTCAGTACAGCAGTTCTGTACTTCTTGATTCAGGTTGAAATGGCTTGGGACCAGGATACTCAGAGAAACATCTCCAGTATGAATCTGTTCAATCAGATATCAGGTTGGCATCAACTGGAGCAACCATTTTTTAAAAAGGTGTGGTATCCTGTCTACGGAATTTCCTCAAACAGTTTAGAAAGGTACCTACATTAAACTTTTTGTTTTCCAGGGGTTTTAATGACTGATTTTTGCGACTGCCTTTTTAATATATACTTTGCTGCACTGCTTGAGCTTTACTCTGCTTATTTTTTTTTTTGCTTTATTTTTATTGTGATCTTATGGACTTTGTTAATACCATATTTACTCAAAAGGAAGATGACCATGAATGCAAGGTGATTGCCCCCCAAATTTTTATACAAAAAAAGGGCTTTTTAGTATTTGATATAACTGTAAATTGTGTGCCAATTTAAGATACCCCCCCCCTTTTGGTATTTTTGCATGTCTGAGCGTGCGCGCGCGCACATGCACGTATGTGTGCCCATGCCTGGAAGTCATGGCAACCTCTGGTGATTCCTACTGGGGCATGGAGGACGTTCAGAGAAGTGGCTTGACCACCTACCTCTGCCTTCTGGCCCTCATATTCTTTGGAGAGCTGCCATCCTCTGATGAGATCGGGCTTGCATGGGCCATCCAGGTCAGGAAGACACGCCCCCTTTTTGATTGTATACATGGGAAAAACCTCATCTTGCATTTGAGTAAATATGCTACAAAACAGCTTTGAAGGCTGCAGAAGCAGTGAACATGATTTAAAACTCACAAATAAAATTTTGGGGATGCAAGAGAGCAACGGATCATATAATCAGCACCCTATCATTGTTCTAAAACAGTCTGTTTCCTACCCTACTTCTATGGTATTTACATGCACATATACAAATGTTGGTAAAATAATTCAGGGCCACAACATCCCCTGCTTCTTCTCCCTGGCTTTGAAATGACTGTTTGAATAGTAACATATGTTTTAAAAGCATTTCATTTTACTTACCCTGCACCTTTCTACCAAGGAGGGCATATAGGGTGACTTTGAATTTTCATTTCATCATTTTTTGTTGCTAATGTTCCCTGTGTGTTTGCTCCTATTATGGCATTTATCAATCATGTACATTTTACCCCACCATTCCTCCAAGGAGCTCAAGGCAGCATACATCATTCTCCCTTCCCCATTTTATTCTTAGAACCAACCCTGTGAAATAGGTTGAGAGACAGAGAAAGAAACAAAGGGTCACTCACCAATCTTCCATGGGAAAGTGGGGATTTGAACCTGGGTCTCCTCTGTGTGTGTGTAAATTGCCATCAAGTCGGAGCCGACTTATGACGACCCCATAGGGTTTTCAAGGCAAGTGATTAAACGAAGATGGTTTGCCATTGCCTTCTCCTGCAAAGTCTTCCTTAATGGTCTCCCATCCAAGGAGTGACCCTGCTTAGCTTCCACGATCTGACAGGATTGGGCTACACTGTATCATTCCACATCCCCAGACAAGGAACAAGTGGGCAGTGCGGGAGGGGGGGCCTCTGAGTGCAGACAGCTGGGCCTCCACCTGCCCAGGTGGACTGTAGAGGGGCCACAGACTGGACCTCCAAACCCACTTAAAACACTGCCCCACTTTAGCTCTTGTATACCATTTACAGGCAACTGATGTAGAGCCATGCATCACTTTTAATGGTAACAGTTGTACTGAATTGTGTTAGCATAGCTGGAAAAAAAAAGACAATTACAGTTACAGCCCCAATAAGAAGAATCTATGTCAGAAACTGGGATTTTTCAAATTGAAGCAGCATGTTCAGAAAAGCATACATACTGTAGAGACCTAGCTTTCACACAAAATTCAGATTGACAATTAAAGCTCAAGCATACTACTTATCTGAACATGTGATCACTGGTCATGTGGGAGTAGAAGAGAGGCATTTGTAGTATGAATGAGAACCTGCAAATGTGGGCCAGTGGCATATCAAGGGCAGGGCAGTGGGTGTGGTCTGCCCTGGGTGCAGTTTGAGGAAAACCCTTGAAGGGGGCCCTTGAAGCCAGCATCATGCTGTGTCCAGCCATAAGTCTTTACTTTTATTTTTAAAATACAATTCTGGCTGCAGACACTAGGGGCACAGGGATGTCTGAGCAAAGCAAAAAGCATTCTAGGATCCACTAGACTTCCCTTTCTCCAGGACTGAAGCAAACTTGCTTAAAAGATCATACCACCAAACCAGCATGCTGATAACTGCTACAGTAATTGCCAGCCTGAAGGTAATTTTCGCCAATAGGCTAGCCTTTCTCTCTTCCTTTCCTTGAACCCAGCTCAGCCAGATTTTGCAAAGCAGTAGTTAGGGTGTTGCAGCAAGATAAGACCACCTTTCCCTCTCTTAATTTCTCTCCCTCTTTTCCATTCATTTCTGTCTCCTTTCACCTAATTTCTTCTTGTCCCTCCCCTTTATTTTCACTTCTTGGTCTCAAGACATTCTCATCCCTATCCTGCTTGCTGACAGAATGCCACCTTTGTAGCCAACCTTTGGAAACTTTCCCTAGTCCTTTGGATCTGACCCTTCAGATCCAGTCTGAAGTTTGACGGTGTTTCAGTAAATGAGCAACATTCACATGTGTATATCCACCACTCCCCCAGGCAAAAATTCTCAGGATATTAGCAATGTTTTTTCTTTAAATTTGCACAATCAGGAATAGGGCTTGCAACACTGCTGTAAACTCTTGAGGCTGTTTCCCATTTTATTGTTTGTATAAATAGTTTACTTTAACATCTGTTCCTTCAGTGTGTATCATTTTTGTGAAAGAAAAGACTTTAAGCCAAATTCTTCTTTTGATTCAGAAACACTTGTCCAAGACAAGCCAATGGGGGATCCAAGCACACGTCAGCAAACCAATCTTCCAAAACTCGGGCTTTTCATTATTTTCATTCCTTAGCTTCAACCAAAAAACCCTCCCCATCTAATTATATTAAATAGTGGTTAAGTGTCTATAATTAAGACAAGCTGTATTAAACAGCTGTAGCTCCTTTCCCAGTATTCACTGAGGTAGTGCCAGTCTCCTCTACCGACAAACAAGTCACTCTCTCAAATTAAGTTAATCAATGGATGCTCTTGTGACTGCATACTGCATAAAATCTTTACCATAGAAATCAACTGACAAAACACCCACTGATTTCCATGAACCTCAGACTTTTGCCTTAAAGACTTCATTAATTAGGCCAGAACTGAATACATTTCACATACATCATTTGATAATAAATACATGACAGCAATGATACAGGACAGGCATCAAGACAAACACAGTTAACTAGCACGTTAGGATTCCTCTCTTTGTTTGCAAGGATTCCTCTCTTTGTTTGCAAGGCAGCAAACTATGGTTTGCAATTGCACATTCCCCCTAACTGTTGCCAGGAATGGAAGCGTCTCACAGCAAAGGAGGAGCCTGAAACAGAATCAGCCTATCGCAGGCAGCCAGCTTGGTCCCCCCACAGAATGAGGAGGAAGGGGCAGCAGCAGTGGGGCAGCAGCCTGTTGCTTGTCACCACTGGTTTTGCTACTGGTGCAGCAGTCACACAAGAGCTAAAAGGAGAGTCTGACACATATGTTCACAGAGTGATGGGACTCTTTTTAATGTAACCACTGGTACACATCCTAAATCTCTGCTCATTAAAATGTAAGCTAACACGTTAAACATACACAACAATGTTCTTGCACGGGTCAATTCATTTCAGCACACAGCACAATGCAGGTTATTGTACAGTGGTGGTCTCCAACCTCTGTCCAGGACTCAGATTCCACCTTTTATTCTGTCTGCAACATGAGTTCTATTTGTGATGTCTTATGGTATGTCAATCTTTCTCTCTCTGTCTAATGTCATTAGAACAGCCCCACTGAAAGAACCCTGCAAAGCGATATCCTGCTTCCACCAATATCCTGCTTTCACCAGTCTTCAGGAAGCCCACAATGAAGGCAGGAACCCACAGTTCTTCTCTGCAGTTGGCCCCCCTCTTACAGTAGTGAGAGGCTTTTAGCTTTCCTGGTTAATAGCTACTGGCAGATACATCCTCCATGAATCTGAATCATCTTCTTTTGAAGCCAACTAAGCCAGTGGCAAACTCAGCACCTTGCAGCACCAAATTCCATAAATTAGTAATACATTGCGTTACGAAGTACTTTTTTGGGTGTGTGTGTGTGTGTCTGTCTTCAGTCTATTGCCAAATGATATAATTGTGTGACCACCAAAGTTCTAGGTTAGAACTCTCACATCTTTAACCTTCTCAACTCTTTCTCCTTGTGAAAAAAAAAAAACAGAAAAGAAAAAAGAAAGAAAGGAACAAGTGGTGATGGTGCAACTCATCATATTCCACACTAGCTGTAATAGAATCCACTGGCTGAAGGCTGCCTTTCTAGCATTAATTTCACAGAGACTGAGAATATCCATGAGTGAGATGTACTGGGTATACTGCCACACAACCTACCCACCTCTACTTGAAACTATCACCATAATTACTTTATCTGTCACCCTCCTTTTTTGTTCCCTAAACTAACTGGTTTCATGGCCAAAACCACATTTTCAGTAATTTTATAGAAAGATTTAAAATCCAGCATAAGAGGACTTCCTTACCTTGGCAAACATTATGATCACTCGCTTGATATCCTGATGCACACTGTATATTGGAACCTGGCTGAACATCAGGAGGAGTCCGCCGACTGATGGGATTACCATTTCGGTTGCTAGTAGAATCAGGTGCAGCTTCTTGTTGGCCATTATTTACAATTATCTGAGCTGTTCTGGGCAGGCAGAGGTACCCTCCATAGTGGTTAACACACTTCATCCCACCTTTACATGCATCAAGCACAATTTCACATTCGTCGATATCTGTGGTTAGCAACAAGATTAAGACAGGTATCAAAAACAGATCATTCTAGGCATGTGTTGCACATCTGTGATTTTGCTTTTGATTTGAAAACTGCATTTTTGCTATGACAGGCATGCTCAACAGTTTTGAGAATCTTATTGTCAGTTCTATTAAAAAGGAGCGGCCGGTTTACATGGCAGATCTGATTCATCCGTGTTCTGGAACTGGCCATCAAGTATTCTTTCTTGGAAAAAGATTGTGGGGTTGATAGAAAATATTACATATTACAATATTAGGACAAAGTTAGAGTCCAGTAGTACCTTTAAGACCAACAAAGTTTTATTCAAGGTATAAGTTTTCGTGTGCATGCACACTTTTTCAGATGCACACAAAAGCTCATACCTTGAATAAAACTTTGTTGGTCTTAAAGGTGCCACTGGACTCAAACTTTGTTCTGCTCCTTCAAACCAACACATCTACCCACCTGAATCTATATTTACAATATTGTATTATTAAGGTAAAGGTTCCCTTGCTTGAAAGCTAGTCGAACCCGACTCTAGGCTCATCTCCGTTTCAAAGCCGAAGAGCCAGCGCTGTCCGAAGACGTTTCCGTGGTCATGTGGCCGGCATGACTAAACACCAAGGCGCACAGAACGCTGTTTCCTTCCCACTGAAGTGGTACCTATTTATCTACTTGCAATTTCTTGCTTTCGAACTGCTAGGTTGGCAGGAGCTGGAACTAGAGATGGGAGCTCACTCCGTCATGCAGCACCCGGATCTCGAACTGTTGAACTACTGACCTTCCACAGCCTGCAGTACAGCGTCTTAACCACTTGAGCCACCACAGCTCCTATTGTATTATTATTCAGTTCTAAATTTATATTATTGTTAATGCAAGCCTGGGATTCTCAGTACTTCTTGCTAACATGAGTACTGCAGTGAGCAACTTCCAACTGTTGACTTTACCTTTGCATCTCTGCATGACAGGATCCCATTCATAGCCATCTGTACATTGCTGCATGTAAAACAAGAGACAAGCAAGTTAAACAGTCAAAACACAGTGAATAAACCAATACATGAATAAATATATTTTCAAATACCACATGCACTTGCTGATGTGTAGGACCATCTTCTGGGTTTTGGAGGGCCCCAGGTAATACGAACTGATTCTCCCTCTAGTGAGACTGTATCACTCATGTTATTTCCACAGTTGTTAATCCACTCTTGCTACTTATCTCCTGAGTGCTAGCCAAATCTGGATCTTGGTTTGTGAGCCTATCAAACATCCTTGATCACTGGGATGCTATCCAACCTTGCTGATCATGCTACTCTGAACCTTCAGTTGTATCTCCCGAAGAGTATGATGATCCAACCTAACCTACCTTCACACAAATGCTGCCTAAGAAATTTTAGTAATGATATATTTTTTAAAAATTCTATCTTCCTTTCCATGAAACGACATCTAGCACAATTTCAGTAATCCATATTATTCCTGCCTCCTAGTCTCCCCAACTAAGATCACTGATAATGGTGATTACTGAGATCAAATTGTAAAGAATATATTTGTATTATGAATATGCTTCTATAACTTCAATCTAAAGAAGAACACAGATATTTGTATTGTTAAGGTTTGAATTGTTAAAATTGTGGTTTTAATGTTGTTTTATTATGACTGTTAAGAAAATAATAAAATTTTTTGAAGAAGAAATAAAGTTTAAACCAGTTCCAGGCTTGAAGAACTGTCAGTTTCACAACAATGAAACCTCTGCAGCTGAATTTTATGGTGTACGGCTATTCAACACAAAAACGAAATCTGTATGTTGGAGTACTGGTTCCTAGCCTAGTTTTTTGCTTGGCATACTAACATCCAACGTGCAGGGATTTTTTTTTTCTTTTTACACAAGAGGGAGATTGCAAAAATTCTATTCCAGCAGTCCATACAGTGCAGGACCAGCCTAGAATATTTTGACACCTCAGGTAGAAAATCCAAGCAGCAGCTCCCTGCCTCTAAAACAATGCTTCACTAAATAACTGATAATATGCTGCCCATTTATGGTGCCCCAAAATCTGAAGCAACCTTATGGTAGGGCCAACTTTGCAGTCTGCCTATCAAGTTGATCTTCAAATGCTGGAAGGTCCGCAATCCCCTCCCCCTTGCCCCAGCATGAACCTCAACGATAAGCCAGTTGTTCACTTTGCCAGGAAACAGCATTTGGTACCCATTTAAAGCTCTGGTGGATTGAACTGACCCTACAACACAGGCATGTGTGAGTCTGCCGTGCTAAACGCAACGTTCTCACAGCACTATGGGGAAAAAAAGGCTCAAGTTAATAAATCAGTCTGTCATCGTGAGTCAAGTTCACCCCTGCTGTAACCTGGTAGGCATCTGCAAAGCTTGCACCAGCTACGGATCTGTCCCAGCCTGCTGACAGCTGCGTTGCTCAATCTGCTGGGGCTGTGGTTGTTTTTGAACAGCTTTGTTACTCATGAAGCTTAAATCAGCAGTAGAAACTAAAAACTTCCCCCCCATCCCGTTGATTCACAGGTGATGCTAGCCATCTGCCAAATGCAGAAACAAGCTGGAGGCAAACAGGCCTCCAGTGTAACAAGGGGGCAAGAGGACAGCTAATTACATTATAATTCCAGCTCTCTGAAGGAATGACAGCATTCTGAGTTGACACAACTGGAGTTACTGTAGCTACGAAAGGAAACCCCCAAGCCCAAAGGAACACAGTAAACTTACTGAATCTCCCCAATGCCTGCTTAATGCACAACAGAAGTCACACCCAATTAATGATGCCGTGGGGGGGGGGGGGGGCCCGGATGACTTATGCTGGAGAAAGCCCGTTAACTTCAATGTGACTGCACTGCTGTGGATGACCAGCAAAATGCCTGTCAATGAACCAGATCCTACTTTTGTTACAAAACCCATGAGGAGGGGAAAAGGGAATTCATTGCATTTTTAAACAGAACGGGAATTTGGCCCCAAAGGATATTTATTTATTCTGCTATCCCCATCACCAAATGTGACAATTTACAGTGTTATGTATGTAAGGAGAAAGGTCTCTGACCTAATGTGACTACAGCCCAAATGGTGATAATGGGGGAGATAAACAGGAGAAGGAGAAACGGGAGATGAGACAAGGCTGACAGGGAAAATGTGAGGAAGTTACTTGTATTTAGGTTTCCTTTATACCAAGGATGAAGATTGGTTGTGCTGAAGGCGTCACAGGAAGGGGTGGGTGGATGTTGGAAAGGATTTGAATGAACAAGTGGCACTATGAGGGGGCTCCCAGTGGGAGTTCTAGGTAAAGGGGAGGCATTTGGGCAGCTGATAGAACTTACTTAAAGCATATACCTTGTTCTCCCACCCAACAAAGGCATCCAGAATTTTTGAAAAAGAATAAATATTGGAACACAGAAATATGGTAAGGCAGCCAGAGGCTAAACACCCCCCCCCAAAAAAACCCCCAACAACACACAGGTCAGCCCAAAGACTTGGAGGAACAGAAGACTTTTAAACAACCCTTCTAAGGCTTGGTCTATGCATGGAGCAGAATGAGGCAAAGGAGTTCTGAGCTGTACCACATACAATAGTGAGTGCTCCCTCATTAAAAAAAAAAAACTTCCTACAAATTAAAAAAAATAGCACACCAGATTTAGAGAGTCCAGAGTAGCCTCTCACATGGTGTAGTAGTTTTCTGTGTACAAGGAATCACTAATGTAAAGGAACTGCAAAAAAGAAAAAAAAGAATTCCTCCCATGTAGTCTGAAGTGGTACAGTCCACTCTCACACATACAGTATTGATCGCTCTTTTCATATTAAAGTTTACCGTGTATGTGATTGTTTCTTCTGTTTCCTGTGAGTGTACTGTAGTGAGCATCAAAGCAGAAAGAAGGAATGTAAACACCACCATCATGAATCTTAAAAGGAAGAAGAAAAACACTTTATTTTTTAACAGAAGTTTTCACATGCGTTAAAACATATTATGCTTTTTCTTCTGTCAGACGGATGCGTGAATTTCTCAGAGGAAGTGCATTCTGTTCATTATGTTTTGGACCTCCTATAGTTCTGGTCAGGGCAGGATTCAAACATGACAGTAGGGCAGAAGACCTAATTATTTAGGTTTTATTTATTTAGAGAATCAGCTCAAGACCCAAGTAAGATGCTGGGTACATACAACATTACATGGGAAGCTGTTCATGTCCACTAGGATCTCATTAAAATTGTGTCTAACAGAGGCCTGGTTCTCACAGAGGTGGTAAAAAGCCAAGTCTGGGCTGAACCACTGCAGGTATCGGCTCACATGGCTGAATGTTCTATAGAAAAAAGTCCCTCCATGTAGAAGGTAACATGTCAGTTCAAGTCTTCTCTCTTGCCTGCTTTGTGCTTCTTTGTGCCAGGTTTTTTGTTTTAGTACAGAGGAGCAATTAGTCTGAAGATGTACAGCTCAAAGATTTACCAGCTCAGTGAGAATTTGGCTTTGTTAGTCATATATGAGTGACCATGATTGGATGTAGTAGGCATGCATGAAACAGGCATAAATCCTTTGGCATAAAAAAGGGGCAAGTGTTTGGCTGACACTGATAATCTTATAATGTCAATATGAAGTATAAAAAGCAACCACATAACAAATGTACTTGAAATGTGCTTGTTCTTGTTTTGTTGCAGATTAATCCCAAATAGTCCCAAGAGCAGGCACATTAAACAGAAATGAAAATCATGGCACACCCGCACATACACGCCCAGAAATGTGGAATAGAAGCACCAAAAAGATGCTGGGAAATTTACCTGAAGATAAAGGGCAGCTCTGGGATAGCCTGCAAAGATGGTTTTGTGGTTTAGCAATGCAGTAAGTCTGTACTAGTACCTTTCCACAGCTGAAAAAAAAGGACATTATAGTAATATAACCATTTAGAGTGCCTGTCAAAAAAGGTGCTTAAGATCCATTCATAACACTGCATGTTCTTCAGTCAATGAAGTTGCATGGTGTGCTGGTAAGAATGCTGGACTAGAATCTGGAATATCCTGACTCTGTCATGAAGCTTTTATTTTTTTAAAATACAGCTTCCCGGAACTCATTCTCACATTTCTGTTTCTATCAATTACATTTTTATCCCAGCCTTCCTCCAAAGAACTCAGGGCAGCATAGCATGGTTCTTCCCTCCCCCATTTTATCCTCACAACCCTGTGAGGTAGGCTAAGATGGAGTGATTAGCCTAAGGTCACCCTGTGACCTTCACAGCCAAAAGGGGGGGTCCGAACCTGGTCTCCTCAGCCCTACTCTTACACTCTAACTGTTATAAGACACTGCCTCTGTATCTAGACTACTCTACCCCAAAACTATCACTGAAGGAGAAATGAAGGAACAACAAGCCTTCTGAGTTTCATGTAATTTTAAACCCTACCATTAAACACTACCAAGCCAGCACCCAAAGCAGATGGCGGCAGGGCTTTCCATTTCCTATCAGCTGAAGAAGATTGAGCGGATTGCACCTGGCTCCAGGATAGAGCTTGGAGCTTCCCTTTTCTTATCCAACCAGGGGAAAGTTAAGAGGAGTCCTTGTGGCTCTCATATCTTTGGGTGTTTCCACATGGGTTATTTGTCCTGAGTTCAGTGCTGTTGGGAAGTGGATCTTTTTCCTGCTTCCCCAAAACATCGTGGTGCATTCGTTCTCCTCTCAGGACTTCCATGCTTTTTCTCCAATCTTTCTCAAACCTGCTTTACTAGCAAGTTTTGGGAAGGACTGCAGCAAAAGTTTTAGGTGGCTGCCATGTGGGTAGACAAGTTTGGACTTCCTGGTCCCACCCACATAGCAGCCATTTCCTCTCCCTGGGCCTCCATTGACAAGGAGGCTTCCAGGACCACACCCAGGATCTTGACTGTCTGCACCAGTATTACAGGCATATGGACAAGAGCTGTGAGCTGAAACGCCAATCCTGAGCCCTCCCCAGCCAAAGAACCTCTGTCATTAATGGATTCAGTCTCACTCTGCTTCAGCCATCCCACCACAGCCTCCAGACCCTTGGCCAGATTACCTGGGGTGGCATCCATCTGCCCATCCATCAGAAGATACAGCTGGGTGTCATCAGCATACTGATGGCAGCCCAGCCTGAAACTCTGTGCCAGCTGGGCGAAGGAGTGCATACAGATGTTGAATAACATCAGGGAGAAGATAGCCCTTTGAGGGACCCTGCATGTCACGGGGTATCAAGAAGGCACCCTCTCGCCAAAGCCACCTTCTGTCCATGATTGTGGAGAAATGAGACTACCCAGTTCAGGGCTCTCCTACGCAATTGGTGAGATGGTGAACCAGGTGATCATGATCCACTGTGTCGAATGTTGCTGTCAAGTCAAGCAGTAACAGCAGTGGCGACCCACCTTGATCCAACTGCCTATGGAGATAATCTGTGAGGGCAACCAGCATAGTCTCCATCCCATGACCAGGGTGGAAACCCAACTGGAAGGGGTCTATATATGTGTGCATGTGTGTGTGCATGTTTGTGTGTGTGTGTGCGTGCGTGCACGTGTGCTTGCCTGGCGACTTGTGGCAACCCCTATCGGGGGCTTGGACATTCAGAGAAGTGGTTTGATAGCCTGCCTCTGTGTCCCGCCCTTCCAAGTACTTGCCAGAGTCAGCCCTGCCTAGCTTCCAAGATCTGATAGGATCAGGCTTGCCTAGGCTATCCAGGTCAGGGCTATACTGTGGTTTTTGAACTGTAAATTGTCTGGAGTATGCCTCTGAAGAAGTGGCATAGAAGTATTTTAAATAAATCAGTAAACAATTACATTTTTGTAGTGAACTAACCATTCCAAGACAATGTTGAGTCCAACTCTGACAGTTATCAAATCTGCATAAGAATTCCAACTTAGCAGCTCCTCACTGGAGTTTCCCTCTAAAACTTTTGTGCTGAAGTACTGAAACTTTTAAGTCTATTATTGAATATTCAGGGATGTTCCCCACTGGTTTCCTAGCGTTCCCATTTTTGAACCTTCTGGAATTTGTCTCTCTGCCACGAGCTCACTCAGTAACTTTAAGCAAGCAGTTCTGCCAAAGGTTACCATCTACTATACTGGCGAACTAGCACACCCAACCTTCAAGTACTGTCAATTAGGGGGCAAATCCCAACTCTGATTCTGCATCAGAATCTAGATTTCCCACTTGCAAAGATATACTCAAACGAGCTAACAAAACCTGAGACCACTTCACCAAAGAAGATGCGATATTCTTAAGGAAAATTTAAAGTAATAAGAGGCTCTGTAGTACTTCTCCCCTGCCTGCCCAGCACACTTTCTGCTGTGAATATAAAAGATCAGACTTAAAAGATGAAGATTCCATAAAATCTTACCCATAAAAGCTTATGCTGGAAAGAATACAGTAGTCTTTAAGGTATCACAGGATTCTGGATTCATTTAAGAGGCCTGGTTCTATCTTGGGCTAATGGAAACATATATTTCTCTTCTGACATTTTATAGTCAAATAGCTTTATTAAAAAAAACTCTTCAAAACGTTTCCCCCAGAGATGATGGTGGTATGTATGCACACCACCTCTATTACAAACCAACCTCAATTCGCTGAGATTAGAGAAGGACACTGTTTTTAAAAAAGCCAAATGTGGTGTGAAAGAAGTATTGTGTTCCATGGCGTACACCTTTATTTTCTTTGTATCACTGTCAGCTCTATGGCTTAGAGGCAGAGCACATGCTTTGAGGTGGTAGCAGTGGCTCGGTGGTAGAACATCTTCTCGGCATGCAGAATGGAGCATCTCCAGTGAAAAGGATCAGATCAGGTAATATTTAATGTGAAAAACCTCCAGCTGAGATTCTTGAGAGCTAATGCCAGTCTGAATAGACAACACTGACTTTGATGGACCTTGGTTCAGCAAAAGGCAACTTCATGTGTTCATGTGTCCCCATATTCAATCTCTAGCATTGCTAGTTAAAGGGTCTCAGTCAGAGAACACAAGTACCGAACTAGATGGACCAATAATCCGATTCAGTATAAGGCCGATTCATATATTCCCCACCAAATCAATGAAGAGGTTTTTGTTTTATTTTATAGAGCAAATACAGTGGGAAAGTGGATGAGTGGACGTGCAATGAACAGTCGGGCCTCTCTTACCTCCCTTTAAAAAAACAAAACTACTGCCTGTCTCTTTGAGCATCAAACTAGTTTGCTCTCTGGAGAAAAGAAACAAAAAGAGAGAAATACTTTTCAAGAAACACATACAAACAGACGTTGGGAGAAGAACTATATTTCCTACTCATGGGGGCTTCAAAGTGTTCGACTCCATCTGAATTAAAGCTTGAGCCTCTGAATTGCTATAGAATTGGAGGGGAAAACAGATGATCTCATCTGATCTCTGTACCAACCCATCAAATGCAAAATAGAAATTGGAACCAACATTAAGGACTTTCAAATAAGAAAGATGGATAAAAAAATGGGATCCACCCTCAAGCTTCTTTTCCATCTACATATCATCACTGCTCATCCATATCATCACTGCTCAATGATCTTGGAACAGCCATAAAGCACAAAGCTCTCTCCAAATAACTTAAAAATGAAGTTCTCTGTGTACAGATGTCTTGGTCATACTATGGTAAAAGGCAACTGGTAGCCTGGGGAAGGGCATGCATTGGCCTCCAGCATAGTGCCTTTTCCTGTGCATCTTGGCCTTTTTCAACCATACAAGCTGAGACACAGACAAGAGGGCTCTTTTAAGCGCCCCACTTGCAAACATGAATGGAAACAGTGGCTTTGGCAGAATTCTCCCTTTTTATTTGCATCTCACCTATGGACTCCCATGTGCAAAAATAAAGGAAACAGGAGTAGCTGAGATGTTCAGTTGAGCAGAGAATTCTTCCAAAGCCTTTGTTGTTCACAGTGGTGAGATGGGGATTGAACAGCCCTTTGTCCTGGGTACTGTGGGAGCCCATGGATGGAGCCAATGAGACTGGCCCTTCAGCTCAGTTCAAACTACAGCCCCAGTCAAAAATTAATTGCTGGCTGAGGTTCTACATAGAAAGTCATGGAAAAATTTCACAAGACAACATAATCTGGAAATCCTAAAAGGCACCTGCAAATCCCTGAAGACTTCAGCAATGATGTGCATCTGTTTAACAGCTTCAAGGTTGCCTTCACATTACTCTGCCATTCCCTTCACCCATACTCTGTTCCAATCTGCTGTGAGGCAAAACTGCATTCCCACTTGCTACATCTGGTGGGACCCCTTATGACCTGCCCCACCCATGCAACTGCTTCCTTCCCATGCTTTTGGGAGTGTGTGTGACCGATTCCGCAGAAGCATTTGTCCCGCCCTCGGTCTTCTGTTTCCCTCGGTTGTACTGTTCAATTTCCCACTCTTTGCTGTGCAGTCGCATTTTGACCCGCATCTCCCCCCAATTTCCCCCGCATCTTCTTGAGCTGGATCCAGAAGATGCGGAGGAAATCAGGGAGAGATGGTGTCATGATCTGTGCAGGACTGGGAGCAAGGCCTAGTGCAACCTGGTCCCAGGAGAGACCTGCATGGCATAGCTTGCAATCCCACAATCCTTAGCGACGGTTGTAGCCAATTCGTGTCCAAGGATTGTGTGAAGAGACTGTGAAAACTGTGTGTGCCGAGGAAACTGTGTTCTTTTCTCTTCTACCGTCTTGCCTCACACAGAGTAAAACTAAGGGGACAGTCTGGTCTGAGGAAAAGATCCCTCACTTGGGACAGAGTGAGTACAGGCAGGATGCCTGGTATAAGAGGGCTGTGGGCCTTGAAATAGTAGCTAGTTAAGTGAAATAGGTAGTCACATTAGATTCATTTATTTTGCCTTTAAACACTGTTATATATTTTTAAGCACCTTGTCTGTTTTTCCTTGCCCCAGTACTGT